GGTAGAGGATACAGATGTGTTAGAGATGATTGTGGACAAGTTTGGCTCCTCGGTAAGTTTCATTCAGTTGCATGGATAACTTTTCTTTCAATATGGGCTAGTCTTATGGTCTCTCCTCCTTTATTTCAGATTTATTCTATCATCCCAGGCGTTGCTATCTACTGATATCCCAGATAATTTTTTGTTATGATTTGTAGGATTCTCCCGAGGTACATGCCAATGCAGCTGAAATTCTTTGTACTGTAGCAAGATACGCACCCCCTGGTCTTGCTACAAAACTTTCTAGCCCCAGGTAAATTGTTCTCAGCCTTGGCTATTGTTTCCATTAAGTCATTATTACTGTTGAAAATTTCTAATTAATTGACATTGCTTTGATTCCTGTACAATTTTATGCAGTTGTACTGGAAGGTTGTTAAAACATACTTTAGAAGATTCACGGCCTAAGTCTGTTTTGGTTAATTCATTATCTGTATGCATATCTCTGCTGGATCCTAAGAGGTTTACATTGGGGACTTATCATATATATGGCCGTCAATTAACCCATGGAAGCATGGTAACTAATCCTGAGACAGTGGAGGGAATGCTTGGAAGCCTAGGTGAGAAAATACAGTATGATTATTAAATGTTCATATGTAGTTTTGCTTGGGTGTTGTTGTGTGTTGACTTCTCGAATGCTATATTCCCTATTGTGAGGGATGTAGTTGGGTTGGGAATGGAAAACTATTGGGTTTTTTTTTGTGGGATAACTAATTATGCGTTTATTGTGCAGGTGATTTACTTATGCTTTTGAATGTTTCATCTGCTGAGGATGTTTTGTTGACAACGTATGGCAAGTTGCAACCACCTCTTGGAAAACACAGATTAAAGGTACTTTTGTGCTCTCATTTGTATGATTTGTTATCTAATTATAATGTATCTCTCTCTGCTATGTTTTATAATTTAAAATTTGAATTTGTTTCTTTTTCCTAGATTGTAGAGTTTATTTCAGTCTTACTCACTGTCGGAAGTGAAGCAGCAGAGAAGGAAGTAATTCGACTTGGAGCGGTGAAAAGAGTGTTGGACTTGTTCTTCGAGTAAGTGGGAATTGGGAAATTTCATTTCCTTAGTTGATGATATGCAGACTGCCATGCTAAATTGTGATGCAATTGTGTCTCAGGTATCCCTACAACAATTTTTTGCATCACCATGTGGAGAATGTAATTCTCTCATGTTTGGAGAGCAAAAACTCTCAACTTGTTGACCATCTTTTCAGTGAGTGCAATCTTATTGGGAGTATACTAGAGGCGGAAAAAGACTTCACATTAACTGCTAGTGATTCTGATAAGGTGAAGATACTTAATTGCTCATGTCTGGGGTTGGCATCATTATTTATTAACTTGGTTTACATGTGATGTATCAGCTTCAGCCGACAGTCCCTGCAGAGGGTAGAAAGCCACTCAGGATTGGAAACATTGGTCATATGACTCGTATCTCGAACAAACTTCTTCAGCTAGCTAATAGCAATGTCGAAATTCAGTCACATTTGCAGGTATACCACAATTCGGTCTTATGACACACATCCATGTACTCATGTAGATATGAAACAGAACTGGTTCATTTATTGGGCTTGAAAATATTCAATATAATTAAATATAGTTGCAATTCCTAGTTTTCTTGAGTTTTGGATGAGAGTATGGTATTTCTTTACATTTTCTGTATAAATGTTATAGATTAGATGGTCAAAAATAATTTTCTCAGGGCTTTATCCCTGTTTGACTTCTCCCAAAGATATTTCCTTGATAGCTTGTTTGCGTGTGAAATATTGACAGGGGTTCTAGCCATCATATCTTGAATTTTTTTTTTTTTGCTACATTTTTTACCAGGAAAATAGCAAATGGGTGGACTGGCAGACAGATGTATTGTCAAAGCGTAATACATTGGAAAATGTCTACTCTTGGGCCTGCGGGTATGCATTTTTACTCTTATAGGGAGTTTTTCTAGACTTAAAGAAACCTTGTGACACCCGCTTCTGTTTTCAAATAATTATCAAAGGCCTTAAAAAGTATTTTTCATATAAAATTTCGTCACATTTGTGTAATTTTCTTTTGATTTAATAGCAATCAAGATATATGATAAGTTAAATGTGATTGCACGTTCCCACTTGGTGGTAATAAGAGCTTGCTTTTGGGAAGTTCTTTATGGGGGTGATGAATTTTATTTACGAGAGGCAGTAGTGATGGTTGGTGTAGTGTATAGATTAATTCTTTTTCTGATATTGTTCTTAACAGGAGGCCAACTTCACTCCATGATCGTAGTAGAGATAGTGATGATGATGATTACCACGATAGAGATTATGATGTGGCAGCCCTAGCAAACAATTTGAGCCAGGCCTTTCGGTATGGAATTTACAGCAATGATGACATGGATGAGGTGATGTTCTCGTGTTTCCTTGTCATAGCTGCTACGTGTGATCTTTTCTTTGGATTATTATTGTCAAAGATTCTGGCCGCATATTTTCAATAAGTTTTGGAATGTCATGGGTATAATGGGTATAGACTGTTTAGTCAAAGGAGGAAATTGATTCAGGAATTTGTAGGAATTCATTTTAATTAACGTTGGCCTATAATCCTGTAATAGATAGGTCCTGAAATACATATTGAAATCTGATGCAATACTGTCTAAAGTTTTGCTAATGTATCGGTATTGGACCACTGGAGTGGATCCAGTTACCAATCTCTGTATTTGGTGGATGGCTAAACCGTCATTTCTTTCTTCAATCATTATGCTTGGTTGACCTCTGGATAGCTATAGCATCGAGGGGTTTCCGACCATCTTCTCTACCTTTATTATTTTTAACTATAGCCTAGAAGTAGCTTGGATAAAGTCGGTTTATCTGAGCAACTAAATTCTGTCAGAGCTTTTGATTTCATTGCATTCTTTTCCTCATAACACATTTGTTCTACCATTAACATATGTAATTTATCCATTGCAGGCCCAAGGCTCTATGGAACGTGATGATGAGGTATTGTTAGTCTTTATTTCCTCATCTTTACGAATTGAGACTTGACTTTCATTTGTGGAAAAAGTAGGAACAAATTTTTAACTTCTTTCCTTTCCTCCTTTCTGTGCTATTTATTGCTGGAGAACTCGCTCAAATTTCTTTTGCGGCTCCTGTGCCTATTTTTCTAAGCAGCCAATATGGATGTTTAGTGATATATATGGTAGATATGAAAATCTATGAAGTCTATGTTGCAGGATGTCTACTTTGATGATGAATCTGCAGAAGTCGTCATATCTTCCTTGCGCCTTGGAGATGATCAGGAGAGGTAATGGGTTCAACTTTTGTTTTTTTGGTAGAAATTAATCCGTTGATTCACATCATATGGTTGATGCGGTCCCTTAACTTACGAAGTATAATATGGTGTCTTTGCAGCGATTCTCTCTTCACAAATTCAAACTGGTTTGCATTCGATGATGATAAAGCTGCAAATGAGCGCTCAATGAGCTCAGCTGCTTCCCCTTCACCCAATGCTGATGGAGATGGTGACGATGATGATGTCGTCATAGGCGAAGCCGATGAATTCAACGACACTGCAGCTTCTTCCCCACCTGGTGATATGGAAACAGAAGATTCTACATCAAAGCATCCTTCTGAAAATCCGAGTGAACCAGAACCTGAAAAATCACCTGCTTGGGTTGAGTGGAGAGAGACCTCTGAGTCCACTGCACCTTCTTCCAACCCAGATGAAACTACCATATTGTCCAATGGTGATGTTCAGATTGAGAAAGAGGATAATGATGATGATGATACCGATAACAAAAGTGCAGTGAAAACACCAGGTGTATCTGGCGATGAAACCACAGAGAAGTTACCAGATGAGAGTGGTGTTGAACCCACTGAGAGCTCATCAAAAGCGAGTGGCATTGAACCCACTGAGATTTCGCCCAAAGCTAGTGGCATTGAACCCACGGAGAGGTCACCTAAAGCGAGTGGAGCTGAAGTAACTGAGAACTTGAGAGATTCTGATCCTGCTGAATCGCATGCAGATGCGAAAAGCTCTGAACCTGAAAGCCCCCATGAGACAAAAGAAACAGAGGTTGCAGCAGAAGCAGATACCAAAGAGAAAGAAGAAGCTGTGAAGGAACCAGAGAAGGTAGTGTGAGCTTTTTACTTAATCGGGGGTCTCTTTGACTGATAAAACAAAATTTCTTCTGGTTTAGTTTGATTAAGGGCTTCGTCTGTTTTGGGTACAATTTATTATTCTTTTTTTCTTTTCCTTGTTTGTTTACTTGATTGTATCATCTCCAAATCCGGTATTTTTTATTCAACATTATTGTCGTCCAAAATGTTAGTAGCTTTTCATATCTATCAGTATAATCTTTTACCTCAGCTAGACTCATCAAGTGTCTTGTAAAGTTGCTGCTATTAATTCTTCACTTGTTCCTTCTTTGATGCTTCTGTCGTGTAGAAATCGATTCTGTAATCGCAACAAGAGCCCTTTCGAGTCTCGATCTAGACATTGTATATTTCGGAGATCTTCATACCAAAACTCAAAAGAATAGAGAGCTTGGTCTAGAAGAAAAATCAGGCACAAAAATTTGCATCATGAAAAGCTCTCAGAATCTTTACTTGTGAGTTTGGATATTGGCGTTGGCAAATCTCCATTGTGGAGAATTGAAATACTAAGGCAGATTTCCTCTGCTTTTCATTATCCTCCAGAATCAAGATATGAAAACTAACCGTAACATCTACGCCAATAAATGTATCATTACCTTAACCTATTAATGGAAAATTCTGCTAAATATGGAAGGTTTATGGATTCTCCCTTGCATATAAAGATTTAACGTTGCCTATGTACAATTTTCTTTTTCTCCATCGAGTTACACAGTTTAGGGTTTTCTTCTTCTTCTTTTCACCAAGCTTCCTTCAATGGCGAACCCAAACCAATCCGTCCGGGTACTTCTTCCCGTCTCTCAATCTATATATCTCTCTCTATTTTCAATTGCTAATGATTCTGTGTATATATTTACAGACTTGCATACTAAAAGTCGATCTAAAGTGTTGCACCGGTTGCCAAAAAAAAGCAAGCATGAAATTGCGGAGAATCTCTGGTAAAAGAATTCAAAACTTTTAATTGCGTGACTCATAAGTCTTTAAACATGAGATTTCTAATACTTTGTTTCCAATGGAAATAGGTGTCGACGAAGTGGAGTATAACAGCGAAAAACGGCTCATGACAGTCACAGGTGACGTAGAACCGATGGCTCTGGTTCGTAAACTTACTAAATATCGCATAAAAACAGAGCTTTTCTCAGTCAAGTACCAGCTTGATGATGATGATCTAAACAGTGATGATGAAGACGGCACTTCTTCTGACTCTACTAGTTCATATTATGATCCTAAACCCATGGAACGTGAATTCCAAGAGAAGATGATGCAGCAGAAGAAGAAGACTGGGCTACTAACCTCTTTTTTAGGAGGGTGTTGCAGCAGTAAATCAAACGTTGTTCAGCCTTTACCGATGCGAAACCGAAACTGGCATGTCCCATCAAAGTTTGAGAATGGTCCTCCTGTTTTTGGCCTTCCTTTTGGCAATTCTACTACATCATCGCAGTTGCGGCCTCCGCATCCAATGATGCCCTATCCACCAACGATGCAACCAATGATGCAGCAACAACCACCACCTATGATGATGCAGCAACAACCACCACCTATGATGCAGCAACAAGCACAAGTTCCAATGACGGGAGTTTCAATGCCACCTAATGTTAACATGTTCCAGCCAGCACCCCAGCCTTATTTTATGTCAAAGCTCAAGATGAACCCTAAGTTGCATTACACGGAGGAGAAGAAGAAGTGACTCGAACCGCTTTGATTTTATTTCCCACCTAAGCTACTTGTTTTGTTGATGATGTCTCTGATACATATACTAAGCAAAAGAATTGTTTTTAAGTGTTGTCTCTTTTGCCAATTGCCGGTAATGAACATTTTCTCAAGTCTGGCAAACTTTTAAAACAAAAGAAGAAGAGTAAATTTCTAAGTCCTTCAAGTGTGATTCTCTGTAGGGGTGTCAAAATGGGTAACCCGACCCGACCCAAACTCATATGGGTTCGAGTGTTTAATGGACGGGTTTGACCCGACCCATATATTTATATGGGTTGAATTTACATACCCAAACCCATTATTGTAGAAATCCATTGGCTTAATGGGTTATATGGGTACCCATATATATGTATAATAAAATATATAAATAATAAAAATCCAAAAAAATAACATAAAATTGTAAACCAACAAAAGTTTTTAAATAATAAATTAAAAAAATCTAGTTATTTTACTTTTTACTTTACATATATTTTACATATATTTTACTTTTTACTTTTAATAATAAATAAATTAAAATAATATTATACATATATTTTACTTTTTACTTTTATTTTTAGGTAAAATGTAAACTTTAATAGTTATTTTAGATATTTTACATATATTTATATAAATTTTACATAATATATCAATATAGATATATATAAATTTTACTTTTTAGTTTTGGTTATGAAACTCATGGGTAACCCATGACCCTAATGGATTTTACCCATTAAACCCATAACCCTAATAAAGTAACTCATTTATATATATGGGTAAAAAAATTCTACTCAAACCCACTAAAATCATGGACGGGTTCGGGTAACCCATGGGTATTAACCCATTTTGACACCCCTAATTCTCTGCATCTCCCAAACCTGGTTCCATAAACATTTTTGGATAAGATGAGCTTTGTTTGTGTCACAGAACAAGAATCTTATTCCATAACCCAACTGAGAAAACATAAGATCTGTGCCTATTGCTAGTACTAGAATATATTGTCTCTGATACACGATTTCTTTTGGCGAATACTTGTCTTGAGATTTGTGTGTTGTGTATCATCTTTTCCCCCTTTAATGGTTGTTTTCATGTTCGCCCTCCAAATCTTTCAAGTATCCCATGAACAAAAGAAACCCGAAGAGGAAGAATCCACCTGAAGAGCTCCCTCCACCACCTCCGCCACCACCACCCCCACCATCATCTCGAGGCGGGAATCCGTTTCCACCGTCATCAAGCTTTGGTGATTTCTCTTTTCCTGATATTTAAGCAAAGGCTAAAAATTAAATTCTGAATATACAAACTAGAATAGACCAGTCCTACAAGAATAAGAACCATAGCAAACCACAAATTGAGATCAAAATAACTGTTTGAACTTAGCTAGGAATCTAACAGATCATATGGTTTTAAGCCCCTCTTGTTTGCCAGAAACGCAAAACAGTTTTCTCAACATGACTATGCACATCAATAGAGTCAACAAAGAGAAAGATGCAACAATTTACCATGAGTAGGAACTTGGGTGATTGTTGGTGATTGCCGCGTAACGGTCTGTGTTTGCCCTTGACTGCATTTTGAATTCTGCAGGAAATAAATCAGAATAAGTAAACAGCTACCGTTTCAGAGACATCTAGGAAGAGAAAACCGGAAAATAAACTATTGGCTATAAGAGCGAAAGGATCTTGTTCATAAAACAAGAAAATGGTGTATGAGGACATGCAAATCATGAAGCTAACACAACAGCTAAAGAGTTAAAACACTTAAAACTTAAGATTGCAAAGTCACGTATAGAACCTACCAGAGCAGAGTTACACGCAAAGACAGATCGTTTATCCTTAGAGACAACAACTGATTGCACTGGGCGCGTTCCAAGAGCCTGGAGAGAAGGAAATTTACTCTGGCTCGACCGCTGACGTTGCATAGAAACGCTTGTAGGAGAACGCCTATGAGAGTTTCCTATCACAGACAATAAGTAGAAGAAGAGCTTTAGACTTCATTGTTTATTCATGATAACCAAGAAACAATGCTACAACACTAGCCACTAGGTGATGATAAAAAAGTAAAAGAACAAAACTTCAATCCTCCGACATCAATAACAACAACTCTAGTTTCTTCAATTTCAGACATCAATAACAACTTCAACGCCAAGAAGAAGAAGAAGAAAGATACCATTAGTCGTAAAATGATGAATTCCACGAGGAGCGAGGTACACCGATGGTTGTGTACCAATACACAATGATGGATTCATTACCGGCATAACTACAATAAACAACAATCAACCAAAAATATTCAATCTTTATCCAAATTTCACAACCCAGGGGAAAACAAACGAATCAATTTCTCATAAATCGAATAGAGAAATTATGGACTCTACGGATTCATCAATTTTGAAATTTCCGGAAAAAAAAAAAAAAACCCATAAAGATTTGGATCAAAAGCAGGTAGATTTTTTGTCGAGAAAAATCTGGGATTTGGTTGCTCCTCGAAGTTTCTCGATCATAGAAGACGAAACGCAAATAGTATAGCAGCATAAAAGATTAGGAACGAGAATCGCACCTGAAGACTTTTCTAGGGTTTATGTAAAATTCTCTCGCACAAATCAATTTAAGAACGTTGGCTTCTATTGCAAGAATTATAAATAAATAGCCAACATATTTCTCCTTTGTTAGTCGGTTTTTTTTTTTATTTTTCTTATTTTTTATGAATTTTATGAAAATCGAAAAAAACATAGTAACTTTTATTTATTTGGTCTTTATTTTCGGAAGGCTGATCGGAAAACCCTAATTTGAGCAGATCTTTCCATTGAAAGCGAACCGTGAATCAGAAGCTGAGAGAGGAAATTTTCTTACCAACGGCGAAAAATGCTTGGTGGATTATACGGAGATCTTCCTCCACCGTCCGATGATGAGAAACCCAGCGGTAACTCCTCCTCCGTCTGGTCAAGCAGTACCAAAATGGCTCCACCTACGCTTCGCAAACCACCTGCTTTTGCTCCGCCGCAAACAATCCTTAGACCTCAGAACAAACCAAAACCTATCGTGTCCTCGCAGTACAAGCCTCCTCCTCCTTCTTCTACTAATTCATCGCAATCGGTGCTTACTCCGGCGAACGAATCAGCACCTTCGCATCAGCCAGCATTAGTTGCATCGGTGATTGAAGAGTACGATCCAGCGAGACCTAACGATTACGAGGAGTATAAAAGGGAGCAGAAGAGGAAAGCTATGGAAGCTGAGATGAAGCGAGAGCTTGATAAGAGAAGGCAAGAGGAAGAGGAAAGAGAGAAGAGAGAAAGAGAAGAGAGGGACAAGGAAAGAGAGAGAGATAACAGTGATCCGTCTCGATTGAATATCTCCGGTGAGGAAGCGTGGAAGAGACGCGCTGCTATGAGTGGTGGTGGAAGTGGTGGGAAGCGGAGATCTTCGTCTCCGCCGGGGAATGTTGATGGGTTTAGTATCGGGAAATCGGAGACGAGTGGGTTAGGAGTTGGAGCAGGTGGGCAGATGACAGCTGCTCAGAGGATGATGGCGAAGATGGGATGGAAACAAGGACAAGGGCTTGGGAAATCAGAGCAAGGGATTACCACGCCGTTGATGGCTAAGAAGACTGATCGTAGAGCTGGTGTGATTGTGAATGCTAGTGAGAATAAATCTTCTTCGGCGGAGAAGAAGGTTAAGAGTGTTAATATCAATGGTGAACCAACCAGGGTTTTGCTTCTTAGAAACATGGTATGCGTTTCAGTAACATCTCAGCTGATACATTTTTGCTACAATGATTTAGAACGGTCTGTTAGAATGATATTGTTGTATTCCAGCATTTGATGTGGTCTTAGTTTGAAAATAGTTACTGCTAGTTGTTAGAATCATGATATATTAATGAACCTAAACCTTTACTTGATCTTCCGGGGATTGAATTTGAGGGCGTATTGGAATACTGTTGAAAAAGATGTCTGTGTGGAAATGGAATTGAGTAATGGGATGCCATGGGAAAGTAGGAGCTTTTGTGATTATGTTGATTCTTTCAAGCTAGCTTGAATTTTAAAAGCTTTGGCACTTTTGTGATGGTAATTCTTTGTTGGTGAAGTTTGTAGCTTTTAGTGTTACTTATGTTAGTGAAAATTAGCCTACTAAAATGCTGGATTGTTATAGAATTTACAGTGTCTTGGAACCGTTTAAGTTACAGTATCTTCCCCTCAAATAGTCAAATAAGCATCTGGAACCTGAGCCTTTAAACTTTGGATTGCCAAATACTAGAGAGTTGACAAATGAATCCTGAGGAGTTGGCATATGATGATGTAATTATGGTTCTTGGATTACTGTATTAACTCAGATGATCTATTATTTCTGATTTGTGAGCATTTCTTGACTAATGTGTGATAGAATTATAGGTATGTGAATGCATCTTCATATCGCTTGTCATAATGTTGGCATCACTCATGTGATTCTGATTGTTGTTCATCATAACAAGTACTTGTTGCAAAGATCGTATTTTTCTTTTCTCGTGTATTACACTCTGATTGACCCATCAAATCTTTTTTCTGCGCCTGAAGGTTGGACCAGGAGAAGTAGATGATGAGCTAGAAGACGAGGTGGGAGGCGAGTGTGGCAAATACGGTACAGTCACTCGTGTACTGATATTCGAGATCACTGAACCGAACTTCCCTGTACACGAAGCAGTAAGAATCTTTGTTCAGTTTTCAAGACCCGAGGAAACAACTAAAGCCCTTGTAGACCTCGATGGGCGATACTTTGGAGGAAGAACCGTACGTGCAACATTCTATGATGAGGAGAAATTCAGTAAGAACGAGTTGGCTCCAGTTCCAGGTGAAATCCCTGGCTATTAACAAATCCTAAGACAAAAAAATGAAACTGCATCCTGTATAAGATTCTTGTTAGAGAAAGAAACCATAGATGATGTTTTAAAAACATTTGTAGAGTACTTAGAAAACTCTTGGGATTCTGTTTATTGTTGTTCAAAATAGCTTCATAAGGATCAAGAAATGTTCCTGTTTTTTTTGTCATGGTTGGATTTTGCATATGAATTAGTCACAATCAAGTACATTTCTTCGACTATGTAGTAAGTAGTAACTGTAGGCAAGAATTCGAGTTTTGACTGACATCACGCGACAATACTAACCAAAAAAAGACTTAAGTGGGCCGAGGGGTACACGTTTCTTGTTAGTAGAAGTTGGGCTACTAGGCCCAAAATCGTTGATTTCAATCATTTCAGGACACAGAAATGTACAAACTTTTAACGAGATGAGAAATATATATTGTTGTTGGAAAGAACTCATGCGTATGGAATATTTTAAATTACATAAATAAAAACGTCTAGACATATTTTAATTTCATTTTGTTAATTGTAAAATTAGTAATGATCATCATTTTTATTGGCATCTAATTTCTCAAACACTAACTGTATGAGAAGTAATTTTTTTTTTTATCAAATATGAGAAGAAATATTTATGTATCTTAAATGTTGAAAAATAAACCTTGTAAGTTAACAAAATATATATCGGTCAACATAAACGCTTATAAGAGTTAAAATTTACCATTACTCAAAACAAAAATCGAAATCATTGTACTGGTTAATTTGTCAATGTTACAATATGTACCGCTTAGAAAAGGTAAAACGACAATGTATCATTAACCTCCAGGAAACGGAGCACCGTATCATGAAAAATCAAAAGTATTGCTTGTTTTGGTGCTGCACAAAATTCAATGTGCTAAAGCTCTCAATCATGAAACCTACATTTACATTTTCAACATCAAAATATACTTTAATTCAAAGTTCAAATTTATGAATAATTTTGGACCTATATTAGACCCCTCGTGCATTTACACACTTTCAAAGTCACTATCTTGATATCTTCCCTTAATAATTACAACAACTACCAGAAAACAAAAACAAAAATGCAAATGAACCAGAGCACTGATAAAAACTATTCAGAAACATGAAATGAAATTGAATGGGTCAAGTAAACTAAAAGAAATTAAATGGGTCAAACTGACATTTTAGCCAATAAGATATCACTGCATTACCCAACAGTTTTTGTTACTGCTTACCAAAAAAAATACGAAAATGCTGAAATAGTGTTACCCTAGTCTCAACTCAACACTCTGGAGTATTAAATTTCTTTTAGTTTATTTCTTCCGAGTTCTGAGTATTGTGAATATAACAAAAAGAAAAGAGAAAAGAAAAAGGAGAGAAAAAGACAAAAGACAAAACACAAAAGACATTACAAGAAAATTATAGTAGATCCTGTAGGGTTCTGTTTTATACTTGTATGCATAATTGCACTTATTAAACTATATAGCTATCTATTATTCCCTAATTTCGATTTACATAAAAACGCCATATTCTTCATGACCGGTTCAATCGTATCGAAGTCGAACTAATAAATTACAAGTCTTCACCTATAAAATAAACAACACATGTTATGAGTTCGGTGAGTATGTGGCTTATTTTATGTCGAATTATAGTGAAGTATATACTACTACATAATAACAACATTGTTTTGAAATAATACAAATTTAATTGTAAAAAGAAACAACCCAAATTAGCTCATATAGGCTTTCCACGAGAGTTTAAATACGCAACCACAGAGGACAGAGCGAAATTCAATAAATACGGAATTTGGGAAAAAACAAAACATAGGCAGATGCATACATGTATGTATATTTGTGCTCTAGTGTCATACCTAGTGAGTCCAAGTAGTGACCAAGACAAAACTATGCATGCATGCATGTGGCAGCCATGTGCATATGAGTTGTATACTACTATACTTGTATGTACATGCAACATGCTCATGCAACGCTGGATTACGTATATGTAGGGATATTGGATGTTGGTAATCTTAAAGTTTCTAGATTTATAGGTTTTCTAGATTTTAAATTTTGAGTCAGTTTCTAATTATTCGTTTATTTAAAATCTATTTTGTTTAAGTATAGAAAACCAGATTTCCATATCCCAATTTGTGCCATTCGTTTTGTAAAACAAAAAACAAACGACTTTTTGGCCCCAAAAAAAAACGACTTTAAAAAGTTCACGTCAGTAAGTAATGTTTGATAAAGCTTCCCATCGGATATACAATTGTATTTAAAATTATAATCAAACAAATTTTAAAATGCCGTTCACAAATTCAATAAATTCAATTAGTATATGGTTTCGGTTTTTGGGTGACTGAACCTTCACTTCTTTAGTATCAACTAGCAACAAGAAAGAAAAAACCAACTGCTCTTAAAGAAAATTAGAAAATATGGGCTATAAAACTCTGCAAGCTAAAAGAAAAATCAACTGCTCTAAGAAAACTTTCTTGTACAAATAAAAACCAAAAATTGCTCTAAAATATATATGCACCAGAGCGTTTCCTTTACCGACAGCCCCGGTCCAATATAATTGGGAGTCTTAGGGCAAAATTTTTTTTTTTGCCTATTATTATATATAAAGAGAAAATTTATTTAATTTTTCAAAAATTTGCAGATTTTTATATTGAAAATTGTTATTTTAAAAATTTTAGGCTTTTTAATATATTTTCTTATAAAGAATTAGACCTCTTGAAATATAATTCTCATATTAATAATATTTTTAAAAAATATTTGAGAATTTTTTACATGTAAATTATAAAAAAACAAAAAAACTCCAGGCCGTCGTGCTTCCACTCAACCTCTCTAAACCGGGACTGTTTACCGAGGTTTAGTACTACTGCCTTTGGTTTCAAATAAATAAAACCAGAAAGTCAATATTGAGCTATAACCGAAAACAAAAACAAAAACTAAATGAATTCATCGTATTCATGCTAATTAATGATAATGATCTTTTCCTTATATATCAATTATCTCAGTCTTTCATTTAATATACTCAAATATTCAATATTCTTTTATAAGTTTGTACATACACAGATTTTACATCATATAGGAAAAAAAAAATTGAATATTTGAGTATTAGGATTAAGAGTGTAAATGGTAACATGAAAAAAATATTCAGCTAGATTCAGCCAGATTCAGCCAGATTCAGCAATTCCGCAGTTACCATTTGCATAAAACTAAATTCAGCCAGATTCAACAGTTTTTCCAACATCAACAGATACATAGTATGTTCATTTCAGATAAAAATTTGGATTATAGCGATTCACAACTCGAATTAAAATATTTTTGGCTATTAAAAATTACACATCAAATTTGTATTTTAAAATAAGTTAGATCATACAAATACCACATATGAATAATTCATACACATAAAATCATTACCAGAATAGACAAGAGACGTATTTATGTTCAGATATCTATAGATAATTTTAGATAATTTTAATAAATTTTAGATACTTAAATATAATTTTCCAAATTTTTGCAAAAATAACTAATACTTATGCTAAAATAATATTTAAAATATCAAATTAAAAAAAATTGATAATCATCCTAATCATATTAAGGATTTAAACTACTAGAGAACAATGAAAAATCAATAAGATAATCTATACTATATTATCATGTTTATTTTTAAATTAATTTTTCAATAAAACTTTGACAAAGCTTTCTATTAATTAATTATATCTTTTTAATAGTTTAAAAATTAGATTTGGAAGAACAACTCAATTTTGCTAAAAAGATATTAATTCTAGTATTTATTTATTGGTATAAGAGTTAATTAGACAATTAGATAATTTTATCTATTTTATTTAGATATTTTTCTTTAGTTATTCGTAATTATTTGACGATATTTCAGTCAAAGTTTTAATTATTTTGACAGATTCTGCTGAAAATCACAAAAAAATTCAGCTAGATTCAGCGGTTACCATTTGAAAATGTAAAAATTCAGCTAAAAATCACTAAAAATTCAGCCATATTCAAGGATTCAGCCGGATTCAGCCAGATTCCTCGGTTACCATCTAGACCCTAAATGATGTGAGAGGGTGACATCAGCAATGTTGACTAAGAAGGAAGAAGGCAGAATCGGGTAAGGCATTTCCTTACACAAAGCCAGATCTGTCCCAAACAGAATCACTTGTGTCTTTTCACCGTTCTCTCTCTCTCTCTCTTTTTATTTTTTTTGTTAATGCCACACAAAATTCAACTTGTATGTTTTTTGCATGAGCCCCACATTCACATTCATCACGCAGCGGTCAAATCACCCGCCCCACATTTTCATTTATTGAGCTGTTATATAGTACTCCATATATTAACGTTTTTTAGTTAATTTACTCATTATAGTGGTTAATGTAGTGCCTAGTTCTGGTTTTCAATAGTTTTACTCTTTGATTATGGTTGGTGTGTCTCATTCATCCGTAAATGGAAAAGCCTCCATCGATTTAACTCTTGTAGACAGACTGCTGATTAAAATAGTTGTCCTTAGACTTACATAATTATGTTATTGATCATATCAAAATATCCCACCATTTTCTTTCAATTTTGCTGCAACACACATTAAACTTGCATTTTTTGTCGGTATAAAACTTTCATAAGAGTTGATAGGTTTCTGCCCAAAAGGAAAGCTATTTATCAACTTCCATTACTAACTAGACTACCCAAAAGAAAAGTTTATAGGTTTCCTCCTGCCTATAAAGTCAAAGAACAGCATCATCATGACTAGTTTTCTTGTGATAGATACTATTTCAATTTATTAGATAAATACTAGTAATGATTATAGCTCATTTAATGTCAAAGATTCATTCAAATCTAATCTTTTGGATGACTATTTCAATTTATTACATAAATACTGCGCATGCATTTTTCATGTTGCATATGATATACACTCACCAATCACGCAAGTCCCACATTTTTTTAATTATGTATTTAGTTATTTACACATACCAAATGATGCTACCACATCCATAATAACCAAAACAATAATGACTAAATAGTTTATTCGACAAACGCTTTTGAGGCCAATCTTTGTGTTTGTTTTGTACCTTATAAGGATAATAAATATTGAATGTACTTATAAATTACTAATAAATAATTCATCTAACATAGTAACATATATCAATAACCTTACAAACTCAAAAGGAAGGAAAAAACGAAA